GGTGCAGAAAACATGGTCGGTATGGGGACGGAGGAGAAGGGAGGGTGGGGGTGAAATTCCTTCTGCTCTTTACTGCCTAAGAGATGGTTGTTCGTGCTCGGAGACACGAAGTAGCAGCAGTATTCAACATTCAGAGGAGTTCCTGTTGTGCGGTCTAGCCATGGTATGGTAGATCTACCGCCAGCTTAGGATCACCCAGAAACTAGATCCGTCATTCGCCTCAACGAAACTGCAAAGTAGCTAAGTTTGTCATTAGGAAGCTCTCGAAGCGCCTGGTGGGTAGGCAACATCCTGGTTGTGGTGCATGCGTGTACCGCGGTGTGGCCTACCCCGAGTATCGCAGGCGCTTCGCTTCCGTAATTTGCCGAATGAATCTGAGAAAAATGGATATAGTTTTCGGTCGATCCCTCATCTGAGCGTCCTGTCCGTCTGATCATCGATAACACAGTGTCAAGCGGGTCATTCTCAAAATAAAGTCACGAGTGGACTTACTCAAAAATTAATTTTACATTAAAGAAGAATATGGCACGAATCAATGGGATGTAGGGTGTCTCACGAGCCCCGAACACTTGGTTGTTAGACTGTACTACACGCATGCGGGCTGAGCTGCTCTTGCCTCATCCTACTGGTCTCTGCCTACGAGTAGGCACACACACATACACACACGCCTGGATGCCGTGAAGTCCAAACGTCAAAATTCCCACATGGAAAAAAATGTAGCCATAGTGTAGCAGTGCCAATCTGCTATACTTTAAGTATAGCAGAATGGCACTCAACACTTTTGGTTACACCTTAATCCATGCGGGAATGTGCCGGAATCCGTCGTAAACACTGCCGTGTGCGTGCGTGCTCGTTTGGTGACCGACACCGACACACACAAATGTACCATCGGAAAATACCCTTCACTCCCCGACTTCCCCCCCACCTGTCTCTCAATTGGACCATGAGGTTTGCTGTGCGAGTCACTTGCTCGCACTACCAGCCCCGCCCCTCTTCCCTGCTCTTTCCGCTCCCCTATTTCTAAGTAAGCGCGCTTTTCCCACCCACACGGACCTTTGCCGCCCGCCGCTGCTCCTTCCCCGCCCCCTCCCCGCTACACAGCTGCGTGGCATTTGAGACTGCTCGGCGGCGTGGCCAGAGGGGGTTAGGGGTGGCGGCCGGAGCAGCGGGGTGGGGCCTCTGGGGTTGGCGAGACATCCATGGTATGCGGGGGTGGGTCCCCCGCCCGCTCCGCTCCCTCCCATATGACCCCCCACCGGACCGGCCAGGGCAGCCCCGCAGGGCAGCCCAGTGAGTGATGCCCTCCTCTCCCGGGCTCCCCATCGGCTCTGCTCTCGCATTTTGAGACTCGAAACGCGGAGCCGAACCGAGTCAGTGTCGTCATTACAAGGCTGCGTTTTTTGTGTTTTTTTTTCAAAATTAGCGTGATTAGACGATGGGCGGACGGAGATAGCCGGTTGATGGGGTGCATTGAAAAGAGATTAACTAGCTGAACCAACCAAGAGCTGGGTAGCTATAGAACCCTGGCTGTGTAGCTTACCGTTAAGCCTTTGCCGCAATATATTTCAAGGTACACGGCCAATTCTTAGCAACACAGCTAAATCATTTATTCTTCCGTAGCTATTGCCTTAAGCTATTGTAGCTAGTCTTTGTTTTCCGTTGTGCTGGTGCCGGGTGTGTGCTTTTGGTCACGTCGTCCCCCTCCTGACACAATAACGGCAAGCAGCAGGTGAAACGAGGGGAGGGTTCGGAGCATGCGGGGAGACTGTCCTCGGGCCCGGAGAGCTGGCCCGGTCGTGCGGTGCTCGATGGGTTTGCGGACTTGTAGAAACAAGCATCAGAACCCCCCTCCCCCCCCCTTTTTCCTTTTCCCTCTCGAGACTCGACAAGCGGGCCAGATAGATTGAGGGTCGACTCAGAGAAGAAATCGCCAAGCTTGCAGCTTCCACCAGCCAGCCATTATTTCTACTGCTCTCTTCTAAAGAGAGCGGAGCAGGGGAGCGCGGTACTTGAGAGAGGAAGAGGGAAAGAGAGAGGAGAAGGGGAGCGAGAGAGAGCGAGAGGCAGAGCGAGAGAGAGAGAGCTTTGAAACAAACTAGCGAGGCAGAGCTTGCTGGAAGTACGTATGAATGCATTCCCGTCTCCCGAGCCCCGTGTCGGTCTTAACGATCAGCGCACTTCACTTTACAGTGATGGGGGAAAGGGGAGAGGGAGGGAGGGGGAGAGAGGGAATGGAGGGTGGGAGTTGGATGCGACCTGGATCGTGATTTCACGTTCTCAAGTGGCGTAAGCGTAGCAAAAGTTCGTCACAGAGACGGTTTTTCACGAGGTCTATCACAGGTTTTCATTTTTTGTTTCTTCTGTTTTATCTCAAACAAGCGAAAAGCGAGGCGTACCCACATATGGTTTGAGGAAGGGCTAAAATGGATGAGGCACGTTGACATGGCTGGGGTGGGGCAGGCGGAGCGCGGGCGGACTGGGAGGAACGGGGCGGATGCAGACAGGTTTATTGCCGTGTGTTGTAGCACAATGCCTGCGCTGCGCTCGTCGAGCCGGCCAGCAGTCTCTCTCTCTCTCTCTCTCTCTCTCTCTCTCTCTCTCTCTCTCTCTCTCTCTCTCTCTCTCTCTCTCCCCCTCTCTCCCCGCTGTAATCACCCCCGCGGACACAGATTGCC